TTTTTTTTTTTTTTTTTTTTTTTTTTTTTGTTAACTGGGCTTAATTTGGAAAATTGTGGTATGGTTAGTTGTTAGTGGAATTTTGAGTTTATAATAAAATAATATTTAAAATAAAATAAATTAAAGATGATTAGATGTAAAAGTAGGAGAGTGATATGTGTAGTGATTGTTAGTTGAAATTATGTGAGTGGATGAATAAGTGAATTAAAGTTGATGTAATGTGTAAGATTAATTGATTAAAATTATTTAACTATAGTGATAATAATGAAAATAGTGGTGTTGGGTTAAAGTTGATTTAAATTTTGAGTATGAACTGAACATGGATTGAGTTTCATGATTGGTATAGTAGAATGAAATTTGGTAGGAATGGAATGATTATGGGGAAGGAATGAAACAAATTTTGTCATTGATACGTCTGGTATGCATAAGGAATAAGACCGAAATGAAATGACATTATCATCCTGTATTATCATTTATCACTATTTTAGTATTTTATAGTAAAAAATTAATATTTATATTATTTTATTTTCTTATTTATGATAATACTAATATTATTTTATATTTTAAAAATTAACTATATTTTAATAGACATACTTTTTTATTTTTATACCCATCTTATATAATAAATAAGCGAATTATGTATTTATATACATATTAACTATTAAAAATATATCATTACATAAACCCCTATGAGCATATGTGGCCAAACATACTTTTTATAACATAACTCAATTTATGAATAAATATGTAATATATATGATTATATAAAATAAAATAATATTTTCCTAAACTATTTATAAATACAGCTTTGTGAGTTTTATTTTTATATAAGTATTTAATATATCTAATTAACATATGACTATTAAATTATTTTTTTTTTAATTTTATATTTGAAATTTATTTTTAAAATAATTCTATTTAATATAATTTACTCATGATAAATAGTATATATTATATACTTATTTGTTATTATTATTTGTTAATTTTATTTTTTGAAAAATCGATTCCAAAAAATATGGGAATGAGAAAACCATCCATAGCTTGGAATGGCTAATCTCATATACATGAGTTTTGTGATTCCCATTCGAATGGTCATTCCCTTCTAAAAATTATACCAATGATGGGAATAGGAATGAGTAAGTATTCCATTCCCATGTCATTCCCGCAAACGAATCATGCCATTATTGTTCAGCATTCACGGTTATAAGGAAATAAAGTGACGATAAAGTTCGAAACTTTATTCTTTCACAAAAATCACATGATTCGTCACATCTAGAGCGCTTTTATTGCCTCATACACTGTCAATTGAAAAATCAATTGAAAAAGAACAGAAAAAACTATAGCACGAGAAACATATGTATATTTCTAAACATACTAAGAGCAAGTGAAAACACGCGTATTTAGCAACAACTATGGACTTCTTAATGCATTCCTGTCCCAAAAGTATATAATTTGAACATTTATAAAGTCATACACACCTTCTTAGAACCATTTGCCTTGAGCCAGTTGACAGAGGCTTCAATATCCTTCACAGCACCTTTCCAGTCGAGACCATCCATCAAATGCTGAGCTTCAGCAACGTCTAGACCAACCTTCCCTCTGTACAAGCTAATTGAAAGAAAAAAGAAAAAGGGTAAGAAATGAACATCTACACACACCATAGATAAAATCATTACTATAAAATGCATAATTTTTTTTTTTTTTTTTTTNNNTTTTTTTTTCAAAACAAAAAAGATACATAAGGTAAACTGGAATTTGCATGACAAATACATTGTTCCCTACTCTGGTATCAATGCTTTGTATCCTCTGTCGAACTGAGCAATCTTTTGGGCATGATTTTTGACCTCAAAATCAACACCCCACCATTCTTGAAGCACCACAATCCCGGGAGCATCGTCTTTCCCGATCACATAGGCGTCGAATGTCTATTTGACAAATTCCACATTCAGGAAATACATCCATAACATAAATAGATACACACAAAATCCTAACGAGTTCGTTTGGAACCAGATGACAATGCGAGCAAGGAAGTCCTATATCAATTTCTCTCTGATCCTCACCAAGCGCCATTTTTATGTTTATTTTGTGGGGGGTTTTTCTAATTGACAAAAATAAATCAATAAAGAATCGAAGTTAATCTGTAGGCAACGAGCTAAAACCAAACCCACTGTGCAGCTGATTTTCGTACACAAGCGGATGTTCAATTAGCTAAAGATCCTCTCTTTCTTCTTTCTTTGCACAAATTAAGGTAACAATGATCAGACAAAAGAACCCCAATTTAAGAAACCGAAAAAATAAGAATGATCAGAGAAAACCCTTAAATTTTACAAAAAATGGAAATGAATGTTCGTTCGACAAACCGCGACAAAGATGGGTGCCCAAGAAAACAGAAACCCTACCGAGTCATCTCTCTCAATCTGGACTTTCTTGAACGGCGAGTAGGAATCAGAACCAGTCGACATTGCACGAACCTGACGGAGTGAACCGGAGGAAGATAAACGGGTCCAAACGAGTGAGGATCCTGATAAAGAAGCGGACTTTGATCTGTTGACGAGGATTCTGGGGAGAATTCTGCAACCGTATGATAACATTGCTATACAGGATTTTACCACTATTTTATAATAGGGGCTTCTTTTTTCTTCACCTACAAAGGTTCAACCACTATTTTGCCAAGGCTAAAACCCTATGTGGCTGGGCATTACTCGAATTTGACTCGTTTGACAAATGAATGGATCTCGAACTTATGTAAAACTTTTTTGATTAACGAGTTAGGTTCGGCTTGTAAGAATCGAAAAGATAAATTTATATAATTTTAAAGTTCAAGTTCATCTCGTTACTATTGATTAGCTAGTCGAGTTCAAGCTTGTATATATGGCTAGTTTATTTAAGGAGTCGAGTTGTCTCGAATATTGGATTCGATTCTTGTATTAGCAAATAGTTGAATATAATATCTTATTTGACTAGTGGATTTGTTTAATGATTTACCAAATAAATATTTGGTAACTATCGAAAATTTATAGTTTTTGAAATTTTCATAATCAATGTTTTGGGTAAAAAAACAATCAAATATACTCTTTATCGAATAAGCTAATACTAGATTTATTTAATTGGTCAATCCTCTAAATAAGTTATCATAGGTAATTCGTCTTTGAACCAGCAACTGATTGACTTCGAACATAATTCTTTCTTGAAATGACCTATGTGGACTTGCAACACACTTGGGATGTTCCCGATCTGACATGAATATGATAAATAAAGTTGATAATTATATGAGTATTAAAAAGTCAAAAAGTAAAATAACTAATAATAAAAAAAGGTGAACCATTCCATACATGAGACTTTTTTATAGGAGAGTTTACTTTGTTGCCCAAGTACTCTTGTCGCCCAAGTGTCTTGTTGCCCAATATATGCCCAAGTACCTTTGTTGTTTAAGATCTGCTCAATCTTGTTGTCTAAGTACTCTCGTTGCCCAAAATTTATCCGAGATTTATCAAATCTTATCCTTAAGTCGATATAGAGTCTTCGTGAAGAACCCTAAAGGCCATACCGAAAATTGATCTCATTATCTACTTTGGATGCCTTGTGTATCTTTGGTCAATACTCATCATGGCACCCGTTCTATTTATCTGAGCTCATGAGCTTTTACTTCTTGATCAACTGGTCCTAGCTGTAAAGTTCCTAGGTCAGTGATAAGATGCTTCTAGAGGTCAACTAGTCTTACAAGCTATCCATCCAACATTCTTCGTGTTTTAACCGTGCTATAATGTCCTGAATTATCATGCTCGAGCTTCAGGACTCTTAAGTCATCAAACATGGGCTATTAGGCCTATTAGTCGTCGACCACCTAGCAGAGCTAACTCCTTGAAACCGGCATGTCGAGCTAACTGCTTGAAGTCCGTCTACCATGCTATTGTTATATCAGGTTATATGCTCTAATTTAACATCAATACGTGACAAAAAAAAAAAAAAAGACAAGTTCATATCTCTTTACAAAAAGCTCTATAAATGATATGTTTTATTTATCATAATAAAATAAAATAAAATAAATAAGAAATTCTTGTATTCATTTTAGTTGATTGGATAAAGTGAGTAGATAATAGAAAAAATAAATATTGGGACAGAGGATGAATTAATTTTGAGTTTGTAGGTGGGTACATTGTAAATTTTATTGAAAAATGTGTAGTAATGTTTGATTTTTATTATTTAATTATACTGATAATATTAATAGAAAAAAAATTGGATAAGATGAATAGTAGATTTTGAGTTAATTTTTTTTGTATTCAACTCTAGTTTAGTAAAAAAAAAAAAAAAAATATTTTGGGGAGATAAAAATAAAAATTATCCGATCGTCCACATATTTCTACAATAAAGCGGCATACATAATCATACTTATTGTTAAACAAGCGTAACAGTTAGACTTTCGTACTTTTTATAACAGTTTGACATTCATACTTAATATTAGACGGACTTTACGATTTGACACTTTGACAGTCATACTTATTGAGTTACAGAACAATTGTACGATTTGACAATCTTACTTACTGTTAAATAGACTAATCGTTAGACAGTCTTACTAATAGATGCAAGAATTTGCAACCATACTTACTATGTAGGTTGGACAATTATAGATATAATGGTTTGACATTCACACTTTTTCATAGATGTTCATATTTTTAATTAAAACCGCAATATATTTCATAACATGAGTAAATATTCATACATATGTTATTTATAAACCATTAAGGGTATGTTTGGTAAGCCAAATAAGCTAGCTTATAGCTTATTTGGTTAGCTTATAAGCTCTCTGTTTAAAATAAGCCTCGTTTGGTAGGACGAGCTTTTTTAAAAAGCTCGAGCTTATTTCATAAGCTACTTTAGGTAACTTTTCAAATAAGCTAGTTGAATTTCTTATTTCAGCTAGCTTATCAGTTAATTTACCAAACATCTTTTATCATATAAGCTAACTTTTCAGCTATAAGTCATAAGCTATAAGCTATAAGCTCAAAAATTACATATAAGCTATAAGCTAGCTTATCAGCTAACAGCTAACTTATCGGCTAGTTTTACTAAACATAGCCTAAGTAATGCAATTTAGGACTCCTTTACGAACGTAAACCACAAATCAACCATTTATAAACATTGAAGTTATATATTTGTAATAAAATAAAGTTTTATAAATGTGAAAAATGCACATTTATGAAAAATAAACCACAAATTCTTACTCAATTGTTACTTGTTAGATGGTTGATTTGTTTTTTTATTTTTATTTTTTTTTTCTTTTTCGTTCTAGTAAAATGCATTATATATATATTATAGAATGTCAAACATTTTAAATTACGACATTTGAATTGAAAAATACCAAGGAAATAAATAGCTCGCTAAAGTTGCCGCTATTTGAGAAATAATCTTTTTTGGCAGCGTGCCGCTATTTGTATTTATGTGCAATTTAGCGGCAAAATCCCGCTAAATCTCCGCTATAGCTCCGCTATAGCTACAATGCCAGAAACGTTTTAGCCCGCTATTTAAAACTTTGAAAAATACACATATTTATTAAAAGTATAACCGTCTAGCTGTTTGACACATATGACAAAAATTTTGGGACCAAGTGTACTATAAAGCTTGAGACCTTTACTTCATTGTAACACTTCAACAGTCTCGCTCACCTGTCCACGGTGGGCAGTGTTCACTAGTTTGTTTTATATGAAAAACGTATTTTGAGAATACGTTTTTCAATTAAATTTAATTGAAAAACGTATTTTCAAAATACGTTTTTCATATAAAACAAACTAGTGGGCACTGCCCACCGTGGGCAGGGGAATATATTTAAACACTTCAAATCCAAATCTTTCTATGCATATTTTTAAAAAAATCTTTAATCTATTTTTTTCTAGATTATAAAACATAGTATTATAGTAATATAATATCACTTGTGAGTTGTCTCGCATCGTCTATATATAAAAAATGAATCTGACTTATAAGTCTAGTGAGCTACCATTCCACCAATCGGTTTTTTAGATGAAATTTCACTTGAGTTTCATGTGAGCTCATCTTGTTATAGTGTAGTTTACCTGTGTTTGATCGCACCCATTTTCTCCCGTGCATATCTGCACACAATAATACACAAGGTGCCAATACAATTATTGCGTGCATCAGCGAAAGTTAATAGGGTAAATTGCACCAAACCCCCCTGTGTTTAACGAAATGTGCGCGTTTCCCCACTGTGTTTTAAAAACTGCACCAGACCCCCTTGTGTTTATATAATTGTTGCACGGTTCCCCCATTCCGTCCAAGTTAACCACGCGTGTGTGACACCTTCTCTAACTGCGAGATTTATTCAATTTTTTTTATTTTCAGAATAATTAATTTACCATTTTACCCTCCTGAATCTTATTGAAAAAGCCAAAAATTTATAGTGTAGGCAGTGGGACTCGATCCCAGGATGCCCAAGAGAGAGCATGCCACAAAAGCCACTAGGCTACATGACTGTTGTGGTATCTATTGAACATACATATATTTATAATACAATACGGAAATGATTAAATAAAATAAAAATAAAGGAAATAAAATAAATAAAAATATGATACGTAAATTAATATAAATTAAATAACTATTAATAATAATAACTTGAAATAAAATAAATGAACATAAAAATAACGAAACAATTAAATTAAAATAAAGTAAGATTAAATTTAATATATAGTAGCACGAATTAAAGATAAATAAATTTTTAATATTTAATTACTAAAATAATTTAATTATTAAAATTTTAAATTAAAAAAATGATAATAAAATTAAATATAAAATAAACACAATTAAACTAAAAAATTTTATAAGATAATAAAGTATAAAAATTGTAAATTAAAATAATATAATTAATCAGATAAGTTATTATGTTATAATAAATTAAAGTAAATAAAATAAATAAAAATCTAAAAGGTAACTAAATATCAATTAGATAATTATTAATAATAATAATAATAATAATAATAATAATAATAATAATAATAATAATAACTTGAAATAAATTAAATTAACATGAAAATAATGTAACAATTAAATTAAAATAAAGTAAGATAAATTTAATATAGTAACATTAATTAAAATTAAATAAATTTATAAGTTTATTTTTTTTTGGTACAATATAAGAGGCCGAAGCCTAAGCGAGCACTAAGACATCACACGACGTGGACGAGCCACCCCTAAATAAAAATAAAATAAAAATATTATAAGATAATAAATTATAATAATTGTAAAGTAAAATAATATAATAAATCAAATAAGTTATTAATAGATTAAAGTAATTAAGTAAATAAAAATCATAAATTATTATAATATAATAAAGAAAACACAATTTAGCAAATACGTTAATATAATTTACTCTAACATACAATATCACTAAAAAAATTGAAATAAATTATAATTTTTTTAGTAAATGATTTATTTTTTAAAAAATAATTTAGTTTCTAAATTTATTATTATAATTTAACATAATTTGATTACATTATCTTAAGATAAACAAAATAAATAAAGTTTGTTAACTAAGATAATATAAAATGAACAATGTAATAAAATAATATAAATTACAACAAAT